GGGATATTAGTTCTTTCCCTATTCCTCACATCTTCTTCCTTTACGGTCTGTAATGTTGGGCCGAACAGAATTTCACTGTAGCTGTTCTCATAGCTTCCTCCCACCCCTCCACTCTGGTCCAGATCTCTCTCCTGAATTCTGTCCATATGAACACGTTAAACTCCTTGTTGGATATTGCCACTGGACCTCAAACATGGCACATTTGAGTTCAGCTGCCAGCCACTCTGCAAAACTGGGACGTTCTTCATTCCTTCCTTTCAGTTTTGGGCATTCCTATTTATTCAAGCTAAAACTTTTATTTATTTCTCCTTCAGTCACATCCTCCACATCCATTCTCCAAGATCGAACAAGTCTTTTATCAAAATGAACCTTACCTCCATCCCTCTGCTACTGCCTTAGGTCAGGATCTCATCTACTGCCTGGACTATTGCGGTGAACTCCTAACTGGTCTCCCCTATTTGCTGCACTCTCTAAACCACCTCTAGCTTCTATCAGAGTTAATTTTTTTTTTTATAAATTTACTTATTTATTTATTTTTCGGTGCATTGGGTCTTCATTGCTACATGTGGGCTTTCTCTAGTTGCGGTGAGCAGGGGCTACTCTTCGCTGTGGTGCGTGGGCTTCTCATTGCGATGGTTTCTCCTGTTGTGGAGCACGGGCTCTAGGCACGCAGGCTTCAGTAGTTGCGGCACGTGGGCTCAGGGCGCCAGAGTTATTAGCACAAAAGAACTTGTTTTCCATTTGGAGAGGTATGATGTTTATTACGTAGAAATGAAGACTAATACCAAGTATCTTATGGCAACTAGCTGGCAAGGCAGTTGAATTCAAATACCAGGAGAGCTAAGGGAAAAGCAATGACCAAATGCTGAATAGTTAGGAAGTCTTCTTCCTAAACGAAGAAAATAATTCTTGAGTTAGACCTTGAAGAGAAGGTAATAGAAAAAGTCATAACTTATTCTAGTTGTTCTGAAACTACCTTTGGTTTTGATATTTGAAATTTGATGAACAGATTAATTTATGTATCATCCACATGTTTTAAAAAGGCACGATCTTTTTAAAGTCTTTTGTTTTTTAATAAGTTTATTTTATTCATTTATTTTTGGCTGTGTTGAGTCTTCGTTGCTGGGCGCGTGCTTCCTCTAGTTGTGATGAACAGGGGCCGATCTTCATTATGGTGCGCAGGCCTCCCATTGCGGTGGCCTCTCCTGCTGTGGAGCACGGGCCCTAGGCGCGTGGGCTTCAGTAGTTGTGGCTCGCGGGCTCTAGAGGGCAGGCTCAGCAGTTGTGGTGCACAGGCTTAGCTGCTCCGTGGCATGTAGGATCTTCCCAGACCAGGGCTCAAACCCGTGTCCCCTGCATTGGCAGGCGGATTCTTAACCACTGCGCCACCAGGGAAGCCCTGAAGTCTTTTCTTGAAAGGAAGTCCCATCCCCTAACCATTTTAATTGGGTGGAATTAAATTTCAAATTCAAGCAATAATTTATCCTTCTATTTGTCTTTAGAATAATTGACTTTTATATCATGTGATCTTACGGAATCAGAATTCTAAGACATTATTTTGAGTTGTCACTTGATTTATGATTTTAGATTTTGAAATTTCATGGACTTTTGGAAGGTGTGCCAGGCTGAAGTCAGGAGATCAGGATTGAATTAGGTATTTGATAAAAGCTTATTAGCTAATCTCAGTTAATCAGCTATTTGACCTTGTGATCTTGATTCCACAAATTTCTGGGCCTCACTAAAATGAAGATATTAAGAGGGTTGCTATCTACCTAATGAGATTAAATAGGAAGGTAAAAGGTTACATGTTACTTATTTTTAAAGGACAAAACTACAACTCATTATAGTTGTAGGGATGCAATTTGCCAAGTCTGTTGAGGGTATAATAATTGTAGATAATAGTAGCTTTAGCAGTATTGATTTCATTCATTTGTCTGGTTATTTCTGCTTTATGACACATAAGAAACTAGGTATCGAGGGAGAGGAAATTAAATCTAAGACATGCATGGCCAACTAGAAGGTCTTACCTTCTAGTTGGAGAAAAATGACACAGACATATTAATCAGTTTGGGACCAATGAAATATAAAATAGTGTAGTAAACCATTTATAGGCAGTTAGAGCATAAGATATGTTGGAAGATGTAAGTGCTAGAAAAATTTTATGGGAATGAGGAACATAGTCATCAGGAAGCACAATTTTTGAAAGCTATGTGGCTTTTTATTCTGCAAACATGGTGAATACTTTCCATCAAATATGTGCTTTTTGTTTTGCTTTTGTCTTTTTTTTCTAAAGCCCTTGATAAAAGGACCTTTTAAAAATACAAAGTCGAGTGGGATGAATTGGGAGATTGGGATTGACATATACACACTACTATGTATAAAATAGATAACTAATGAGAACCTACTGTACAGCACAGGGAATTCTACTCAGTGCTCCGTGGTGACCTAAATGGGAAGGAAATCCAAAAAAGAGGGGATATGTGTATACGTATAGCTGATTCACTTTGCTGTACAGCAGAAACTAACCCAACATTGTAAAGCAGCTATACTCCAATAAAAATTAATTAAAAAAATACAAAGTCGATCAACGTTAATGTAGTATCAGTTTGCAGCTGGATAAATAATGTTTCTATTGAGATTTCCTAGCCTTCCAAAGACAGTATTTAAAATTCATTTGGCAAACACCCCTAAAGGATTTTAGGCTCTGAAAGACTATCAGGTTTCTAGGAGTGCAGCCACATGTCTGCAACAGATTATTAAAAACATCCCATGCTAAGCATTTAATACAGTGTTTTTTTATCTTGCAGACACTTGGTAAATGATTGCTAACTTACTTAGCAGGGTTGTAAAGGAAGTGTAAATAATTTCCAACTATCTCTTGGAAAATGTAGTCTGGCCTGATCACTCAGACTTTGTCCAACCTTAGCCAGAGTATGAACTATACAAGAGAATTCACACTTGTTCAAATAACTTTTTTCTCCCAGGGAAGTTTATATTTATCAAGCAGGCTTCACTCTGCACAAATAGTCACATGGGATACTTTGGAATGTGTCCAGCAAGAAAACATGGCTGTGCAGCAGAAACTATTTCACCCAGTGTTAAATTTTCAAAGACTTCTTGTCCCCTCGTGGACTGTTAGAGATGTGCCTGGCATGAGAAGGAGGAAGTGGTGAATGGAAGAGTAGTACCAGGATGTGTCTGAGAGGAATATAAAGAGTCATTATTATCCTCTCCTCTGGTTGCTACTGCAGGACCTCCTAGGAGTAGAAAACAGTAGAGTGCTCTTGTTTTGTTCTGTTTTTTAAAAGAGTGGATTGATCTTAACAAGCAATCAACTTTTTAATTCTGATAACATTTTTCATGGGCCAGAAATTGAGCTTGTTGTTTACCTATAGATCTTCAAAAGTAAAGCAACTAACTGATCATTTAGACAGGGTTTGGCAAGGTTTTTCTTTACAGGGCCAGATAATTAATGTTTCAGGCTTTGCAGACCATAGGTCTCTGTCACAACTACTCCACTCTCAACTCTGCCACTGTAGTGCAAAACCACCACAGGCCATATGTAAATGAGTAGTTCTATGTTCCATAAAACTTTATTTGCATAAACAGGCAGCAGTCCAGATTTGGCCCATGGACTTTAGTTTGCCAGCCCCCGTTTTAGAGCTTCACTGGCATCTCCCTGTTTGCTGAAGACCTGTTTTTCAGATTCTTATTCCCTCCCCAGCAGGCTCAGCTCCAGCCTAATTGATGTGAACCTAGGTATTGAACTAACAAGAGGCAGGTCTGCTTCCATATGTTTGATACTTATCAGGCTGAGGTGAAAGTGGATGTAGAGACATATAATCTGGAAGAGACATGGTCTTTGACATTAAAGAGCTAGACATCTAGATAGTCTGTCTCATTACCCAGTTTCCCCTTCTTTATGGCACTTACCACTGTCTGAAGTTATCTGATTTGTAATAATGGAAACCTCATCGGACATGATTAGGACTGGTGGTTGGTTAATCAATGATATAAGGAAACACTTTAAAAACACCTGCTTTGACACAGACCTACTAGAGAATGGACTTGAGGATACGGGGAGGGGGAAGCGTAAGCTGGGACAAAGTGAGAGAGTGGCATGGGCATATATACACTACCGAACGTAAAATAGATAGCTAGGGGGAAGCAGCGCATAGCACAGGGAGATCAGCTCGGTGCTTTGTGACCACCTAGAGGGGTGGGATAGGGAGGGTGGGAGGGAGGGAGACACAAGAGGGAAGAGATATGGGGACATATGTATATGTATAACTGATTCACTTTGTTATAAAGCAGAAACTAACACACCATTGTAAAGCAATTATACTCCAATAAAGATGTTAAAAATAAGAATAAAATAAAAATACCTGCTTTAAACATTTTTTAAAAACTTAAAACATATAAATGTACATTGCTTTGCCAATCTTTTGATGAAGGTCCAAGGCTTTTTCTTAGCATTTGGATCTTCTGATTGGAATTCTGCTTTGTGTGTCTTAATAAATTATATCCATGTGTGTCTCCTACATTTCCCAATGTATTTTTTAATTTGACTGAGAACCTTGCACATGGAAAACAATCTGAATGAAGAATCCTTCCAGACTGTCCCACTTTTGAAAACCAGTATTTTATAGTTGTTGTACCTACCCTAATTCAATAGTAATTTTTAGCAAATTGATTGAGCCTTTTTAAAGCATTCAACCGCTCTCCATTCAGTTGTCTTTTAAAATGCGTATAACCCTTGGACACTTCCTAAATGTTAAGATTTGTTTTTCAGCTACTTAAAAATTTGGGGATTTGCTTATCAAATCACTTCTTTTTTTTTTTTTTTTGCGGTACGCGGGCCTCTCACTGTTGTGGCCTCTCCCATTGCGGAGCACAGGCTCCGGACGTGCAGGCTCAGCGGCCATGGCTCACAGGCCCAGCCGCTCCGCGGCATATGGGATCTTCCTGGACCGGGGCACGAACCCATGTCCCCTGCATCGGCAGGCAGACTCTCAACCACTGCGCCACCAGGGAAGCCCTCAAATCACTTCTTTTTATGGTGAAAGGACCTGAAGCACTATGAAAGCTTAGATGGATTGGGAGAAGAGAGGTTGGTGGGCAGAGACACTTTGGCAGGGAAGTGTAGGAAGCACTAAAGGTAGACTTGCACCGCTGCACAGGTTTGCCAAGTGGTGATTCTGTTGAATGAGAAAATAATCAATAATGGCTTTTTAAGAGAAACAAAGCATAGTTGAGAGAATGTCCCTAACCTTTAAGGGAGCAGTGTCCTATTTTCCTACAAAGTATCTTGAAGTGTTTTTTAGACAGAATTCTGGGATGCCTGGGTAGCCCATGGTTTTATCTTCATATAGGTGTGCTTTTATTAAGCTGTTTTGTTTGTTCTCTTATTTGATTTCATTGAGACTGTCTAATGGGAGCGTCCATGTCCTATTTTGTCTATGAAGCATGTAAAAAGTGGCCCAAGAGCGTTCCAAGCCCATGTGAGGGCAGACATGCTGTGTGTGGTAAGGCATGAGATCTCAGGCAGAAGGAACAAAAGGTCTCAAAACATCCAGAGAATTAAGAGATCTTCATTCAACAAATATTGAGTGTCTTCCCAGAGTCAGTGTGCTTGGTTCTGGGGATGAACACTGCACCAGATGTGGTCTCAGTCTCAATTCCAGTAAGTTATACAAGTAATTGTTCACAACCTATGAACCTATCTTGAGCTGTAATTTTTTCCTGTAAGTATTTCACTTACTTTCTTCTGGTTCTAGGCCAACACATATGAAAAGTACTGGACTTTTTACCAAAAGTATGGGGGCCATCATTTTCCCAAAGATCATTTGAAAAAGGCTGTTGCCGAAATTGAAGAAATGTGCAATATTTTAAAAATGGAAGGAGTGACAGTGAGGAGGCCTGACACCATTGACTGGTCCTTGAAGTATAAAACTCCTGATTTTGAGTCTACGGGTAAGTGATACTGGATACTTTAACTGCTAGAGTCTTAATTTTTTAATTTCTCTCAATCTGTAAGGAGAAAGCTCTGATTATTTCTCAGAGATCCCTTTGTTTTAATAATCCTTCAAAACTTTAAAGATTATTTAGGAACAGTTTGGTTCTTTTTGGTAAGACTTAGAGGTACACATTTTAAACTCTATTGTAAATCTAGAATTTCCTTGAAAGAAGCAGTTTTTCTAAACTTCATGAGCATTTCCTTACATAAGACCAGTGGATTCCATTTACTTTTCCTCAAGAACAGAAATTAAAAGGGGAACAGAAACATTCCCATCTTATTTTTAACTGACACTGCTGCAGGATTGTTTTTGTGCCTGAGTTCAGTGTTGTTGTTTTTTTAAAAAATATTTATTTATTTATTTGGTTGTGCTGGGTCTTAGTTGTGGCAGGTGGGCTCCTTAGTTGCGGAGTTTGGTGTGTTCTAATTTACAGTTGTATAAGTGATCCTTGGCCCAATTTTCATCTTGTGGTACTGATATTCCCTGAAAAACTCTGTTAGGAGTTACAAAAGGTGAAAACTTGGTGGTTCAAGATGTCTTTGACCAAGAGATGCTTCTTTTTCTCTTTTCTTTTTTTTTTTTTTTTTCTATTTGGCCTGGCTTCATCATCCCCACACAGAATTCATGTTAACAGTCTAGGATGTATCATTTAATATTTTTTCATTTGCGTAAAATTATGTACATATACACGTATAGGTTTTCTGTAATTTTTATTTTTTTACCAAAGAATGAAATCACATGATATAGACTCTTCTGTCTTGGAAATTAGCATCACTGAAGTTGCTCTGGAACTTTCTGGCCTGACAGGTTTATATGGTGCGATGCCTCGAGACATCCTGATAGTTGTGGGAAATGAGATTATCGAGGCTCCCATGGCCTGGCGCGCTCGCTTCTTTGAGTACCGCGCGTACAGAGCAATTATCAAAGACTACTTCCGCCGCGGGGCCAAGTGGACAACAGCTCCTAAGCCCACAATGGCTGATGAGCTTTATGACCAGGTAAGTCCCCAGTTATGGGAGAGCTTATCAGTAACTTTTCTAAATAATCCACAGAGACTGAGAGATTCTCTGATACCTTGTATTTATTATGTATTTCAGAAGCTGAGATGACCTACTTTTCGAAAACTGATTGTTTTATGATGAAAATAACAGTAAATGATAAGTTATAATAACAGTAATAATAATAGCTAACACTTATTGGTGTTTACCATGTGCCAGATCTTGAACTAAGTACTTTATTAGTTTATTTTTCACAACAACCTCATGAGGGAGTAGTTTCATTCCATTACAGGGAGGAAAACTGGTCTAAAGGCGCACAGCTATTCATTGGTGGAGACAGAACAGTCGCTAGGCTGAACTCCAGCCTCTTCTAGAAAAAGAATTTGGTCTGTAGGCCGTATTCACAGTAAAAGGAAGTGTATGTCTCTTACTAGATCACTTACTATTTGATCACTTATAGAAGGAATCAAAAAATGAAAATTTCTTTAAACCCTTTATGGGTTTAAAGACATAAGTAAGTAATGAATCTATTACCCAACCGCATACCCAGTCAAATTTGGTAGCGGATGCATGGCATCGCATTTTATGGTATGAGTTAGGCTCAGGGCCAACCTCCTTTTTCAAAAGAACAGAATGACTTCATCTTGCAGATTTTCAGTACTGTAGATAGATACATAAATCATTGGATGGGTCATGGAATATTTTCAGTTTCATTACTGTCTCTGTACCACCTGCTTCCAAGTATCAGGAACTTGTCATGCCTAGTTTTTCATTTTTTTGTTGGTGGTTTGGTTTATTTTGGTTTGCTTAGCATGGGCCTACATCTTCCCATGCCTGTTTCAGTCTAGAACAGGGCCGTAGTATTTCAGGAAATGATGATGTTGAACTAATTTTCTTAGTAATGAAGGCCCTATGAGTCATCTCTTCATGAACCAAGGCACTGTGTGTGTTCATTCTTGTTCCAATTAGGATTACCCCATCCATTCTGTAGAAGACAGACACAAATTGGCTGCTCAGGGAAAATTCGTGACGACTGAGTTCGAGCCGTGCTTTGATGCTGCTGACTTCATTCGAGCTGGAAGAGACATCTTTGCACAGAGAAGCCAGGTGGATAAAGGCTACCTCGGAAACTTCTCACTTTATTATTATATTTTAAATTTCCAAAATTAAAATATTTTCATCCTATTTTTAGCTATCTAAACATAGAACCAAATCTTTATAGGTTTATGTGTCCTTTTCTATTTTCAGGTGACAAACTACATGGGCATTGAATGGATGCGTAAGCATCTCGCTCCAGACTACAGAGTGCATATCATCTCCTTTAAAGACCCCAATCCGATGCACATTGATGCCACCTTCAATATCATTGGGCCCGGTCTTGTGCTTTCCAATCCTGACCGACCATGTCACCAGGTAGGGGAGTTCTTAGGACTCTGGAAAATCAAGAGAGTTTGGCAACTGAAGGAATTGCCACTATTATTTTAAGCACTTCCGTGATTTCCTAATGGTTCTAAACGACAGATTCAGCAATGCTCACATTATTATGATCAAACATTGGATTGCTTATGTTATATTTACTACAGGATGTCCAACACTCAGAAATATACACTGTAGCCATGATAATTAGTGTAGTGTCATCAGACTCTGACTTTGGCTGCTTGCTGCTGTCAGAGCCTCAAGTTTGTGCGTATGTGTGTGTTTTTATTGAACAGAGTGGTATTATCTCATAACTTGCAGCCGGGGTTCCTCAGCAGATGAATTGCAAACAAGATGATCTCTGCATGTCTGGGGTAACACCACTAGGCAGTGGGTGTCTTCTTCCCTCTCCAGTGGGGCTCCCTTCAGCCAGGCCCACCCTGCAGGGGAGGAGCAGAGCCACTGCACTGCAGCAGGTCTATCCCCCCCTGCAGCCTCCTACTTCTGCCCGCTGCCCCCTACTTCCAGTTGGGCGGTGAGTGATTTTGTGTTATTTGCTGGGCTGCAGTGCGCCATTGCAAAATTCAGTATTTTACCATATCACTGTTCATTTCTATTCTATATATTTAGACCAATGACCAAGATTACTTATTCACTTCATTTTAATTTATTTATATATAATTTACATAAATCAATTATATATATTATTAAATATTTATTTAATATAATTTATATACTAAGTGGGTATGTGAACTAGGGATGGTTGGGTTATAATAGGTCACTAGGGACAGTTATGGTTCTTTGGGAGTATATTCCTAACATCTGTCTTTATACCATGGTCACAGACGCAAAGTGACAGACTATGAAGTGGATGGACTATGGGTTTGACATAGTCATATTTTGTTTTCTTACAACTAAGTAAGAGGAAATATTTTCATTTTCTTTAAAGAGAATTTCTCAAGGAAAATATCTTCGGTCTTTTAAAAAATCTCTGAAACCTGTGAAAAGCACAAGAATATTTTTAAAAGCTTTAACATTTCTGTTACTTTTTAATTTTAATCTGGCAATCTGAGGACTTTATGTACATTTTAACTAAGATTCAGACAAAATCATCCAAATGTTTTGAAATTTTAATTTTTAAATTTTGGCAGTTGAGAAGACAGCTTCTCAAAAAGAATTATTAATCATAAGGGCTATCAGAGACCAAGAATGATAAGAATAGTATCTATAGATTTAAGCCTCTTTGGGTTTGGGGGGTTTTTTTTATTTTGGTCTTGCAGATTGATCTTTTCAAGAAAGCAGGATGGACCATAGTTACTCCTCCAATACCAGTCATCCCAGATGGTATGTTTACTTTTGTATACTCATAGCCTAAAATAATTACTTCAGTGGCCAAGAATCTTTCACCTATAGACAGCAGCCTGCATATTAGCAATTTAGAATATTTCTCTGGTAAGCAGTAAACTGGTGCTGGGCACTACGGGTACTAGAACAAGGCTGGACTTGTGTTCACAACCTCTCCTTCCATAGAAATGAAAATGAAAAGACAGGAAAAATCAGTACAAAACAATTTGACGGAAAGCAAGAAATGGCTTTTTAAAGACAACAAGGTGAAATTCAAATGTGTAATGAGTATGGATTGATTCATAACATTTACAGATAGTCTTAAGATTAAAATAAATTTTCACAGGGAAACTGAACTATTGAAAGAATTGAGCTGTCACTTGAATATTCTTCACTTCTGAATCCTTGCTTTAACCAAGAATAACAGCAGACATGATTTAACGGTTATTGCTATTTTTAGATCACCCACTCTGGATGTCGTCCAAATGGCTTTCCATGAATGTCTTAATGCTAGATGAAAAGCGTGTTATGGTGGATGCCAACGAAGTCCCGATTCAAAAGATGTTTGAAAAGCTGGGTATGTACCCAGCATAAATGAAACATGTTCATATTCAAAAATATTAAATGAGAAGAAATGACATGCTAGGTCTGATGTATGATTTATCTAATTAAATTTCTGTTCCTTTTAGAAGTACCAAGTTGTTATTTCGTAGATGGACAATATACTTCTTTTCAACAGTCACAACCTCAAAAGGTTGGAGATGCATCCCAGGCTCCTTAGACACCCCCTGAGCAATAAGTTTATCAGTCTTCTATGACTTATCTAACTTGCTGGTGCCCAAGTGTGGAGAGCTGCCCCTTTGCAGATAAGCATATAGATGATTTGGCCCTTCGCCAAATAAGAAATTGTTGGGGTCCTTCAAAAGTAATTTGTCATTACATATTTTAAAGGACGTATAAGGATACAGATATAGAAGTGACTTATCTGTGTGATAAGCACTGTGAACAAAGTAATGAAATACAATAGAGGATGTCAGTAAATCATTTCAGCTTTGAACTAAAAAGCAGAACTGGTTATTACTTGGGTGGGAATTTGCTTATCGTGGTATTCAAAATTTAGACCAGTTATCCTATACTGAGAAAAGCATTTAAAGAATTTTCATATGGCTGTTATTAGGGTGCAGAAGTGTGTGTTTATCACTATCATTCTACTTGACATATCCTAAGTGTCAAATAAAGCCAGGCAGTACACTTGTTGAAATCAAGTCATGTTTTGATTTATGTCTTATATTTCAGGTGTAGTACTCAGAAGATATTGTTTGCCCCTTTGAAACATCCCTCTTTAATGAAGTATCAGGTTAAAAAGATTAGCCCATTAGTTTTAGATTGAGCCCAGTCTAATGATTTCACCTGTAATGCTATCCCACTTTTTTTTTCGTGGCTTTTGTTAAATAAGCCAGTTGCTTGGGTTCAGTTTCCTGTCCTTTAAGATTTTATTGTTTCTCAACTTAAAATATTATTAAGTACCAAATATCTGATTTATAATTTTGTTTTTAATAAAGTCTTTTTGAACATAGGGAACTTGTTAAAGCAAATTAACTTCTCTCCGGTTCAAGGTTATATGGCTCTGGCCATCTGACTAAGATAGATATGTCTTTCTGTCAGGAAACACATGCTCATGGTTAAAAGCCCACTTCTTATCCCAAGCCCACTCCTGAACCTATGTCCAAACCCTGTTTTTACTCTTCAAAGCCCTGCTCAGTCTTACTTTCTCATGAAAGGCTTTCCAGATGATTCATGCTGCCTTTCTAACTATACCAGTGGGCCCTTTAGCAACTCTGTAGCTTAGCTTTCCTCTCAAAATAATGGATTCCTTGAGAGAGAATAGATTTTCTTTTTAAAACCCCATTATGCCAAACACAACAGATTCTTCCAAAATACCAATGGTTGACTGGGCCATGTACATCATAACCATATTAATACAAATGGTGCTGGATTAAACTGATTGCCTGAGTAGCTTTGATACCTGTATGACCATACAACCCAGATGAGTTCCGTTCCATTGTTTCCTTAAGGTGGCCTGGTCAAGCTAATTGTGTCAGATAAACTCTGCTTATATGTGGGTAGGTAAAGTCAACTTTTCAGGTTGGCTAAATTACACTTTTCTTACTAAATTGACATGGTAAAATTAGAAACAGTCTGACAAAGTAGTTAAAGCATAATTCTAAAAGGCCTTGAAATTTTACTATTTGGATTGTTTCTGAACATTTGTCAGATATATCCACTCATGAAACCTGTTGACTTGTGAATAGTCAATAGAACAAAATAGACTTCAGAGTCTCTGCTGACTTTCTGGTGAAGGTTTTATATTAGCAGTGGAATAGATTAGATGAAATATAATTGACGAATAAAATTGAAAGACTATCCTGGGGTGGACTTAAGGGTTAGAACCACAGTATTCCTACCCATTTTTAGGCTCATTTCTATAGAAGAATCTTCATGTGAGTCCATCTAACTGGCCACATCTCTCTCTTTCCATGCAGGTATCAGTACCATTAAGGTTAACATTCGTAATGCCAATTCCCTGGGAGGAGGCTTCCACTGCTGGACCTGCGATGTCCGGCGCCGAGGCACCCTACAGTCCTACTTTGATTGACCAGGCCTGCTGGGGCTTGGGGCTTGGCCTCAAATAAAACTAGGAAGCTTAGGGATAAGGTTCATTCTCCTGCTTTAAAAAGTGCATGAACTGTAGTACTTTATACAATCATATCCATAACAGGGGTCTTAAGCCTGGTTTATTTTTATTATTTTTCTTTGATAAAAGGAAGATAACCTGTGCTAGATCTTACTCTCTTCTCCTAAATATTTTGCTGTTTGGCTTCAAGCATAAAAATTTGGTGAATGTCTACCAAAACAAAAATTAGTCATTTGAGTAACTTGGCTACTAATACATTTAACCATCTACCTCTGTTTTTAATTTTCTTTCCAAAAGGCAGCTTGAAATGTTAGTCCTAATAGTCACTTTTTTTTTCCTTTTTGCTAAACTTGTGAATGTTTGTATCACTTCTTTTTTCTAAATAAAAGACTCAGAATGTATACAGATCTTCTAGAACCAGTAATTGTCCCTTTTTCTAATAAGGAATTTTGGTAATTTTTAATTTTTTGTTTTTAAAAATAACCTAGACTATTGCAAACATTTAAGTGAATTTTCCATGAATGTTTTTAATATTCTCATCTCAACATTGGTGATATTTGCTATTAAAAACCTTTTCATACAACTTACCTCATTTCAAGTGATTTATTTTAATCTCTTTTTTCTTCTCTGTCCAGAATTTTAGAGGAATATTTAGTGCAATAGGGTGTAACTATCAGTTCCAATTCCTAAATTTTGATGTTCAGTATCTAGTGGATACATTGCATCTTTGGTCATCTAAGATTTGTTTACAGATGTGCAAATTATTTAAAGCACAGACTTTAAAAGCATTAAAAAAAAAACTAATGGAGGTAAAACCTACATGCGACGTGAAATAATTTTAACGTTGGATACGGTACATGTATTTTTATTCTAATAAACTTTTGTGTTACAGAATGGGTTTTATTAGAGTTTGGCATCAGTCTAATCATTTTAAGCATAAGTAAATTATGGGAATATAGCTCTTGAAACAGTGTTCTAATGCTTTGAATTATTCAATATATTCACCCCCAGTAGATAAAAATTTAAACCTAATGCTTGTATTCAGAAATGTTTAGCAGAGTCAGATTTTATTTATTAATTAATCCAATCAGTCAACAATATCTGAATGTCTTCTGAATATAAGGGACTATTCCTAGGCCCCAGAAGAGGAAAAAAGTCTCCATTCTCTAGATACTCAGTATTTTGACCCATGAAAAATCTGTGGGGTGGGGATGGGGGGAGGTATACTTTGAAGTGGTCATGGGTTTCGACCGTGCCTTTGTAGCCTAGTGTCTTTTTTCACGCACCACAGAAATACCTGCCCATTCTACACTCGACTGAATCCTGCTTAAGAAACCTTACAGGGGCTTCCCTGGTGGCACAGTGCTTGACAGTCCGCCTGCCGATGCAGGGGACATGGGTTCGTGCCCCGGTCCGGGAAGATCCCACATGCCGCGGAGCGGCTGGGCCCGTGAGCCATGGCCGCTGAGCCTGCGCGTCCAGAGCCTGTGCTCCACAACGGGAGAGGCCACAACAGTGAGAGACCCGTAAAAAAAAGAAACCTTACAATCATGTGGATTGGTGCAGTTAGGGGATATATTCCTGGGTTTAAATACTACTCTGCAATTCTATTACACACCCCTCCACATTCTCCTCAGTGGCTATTCCAGACCTTCACTTTGTTCTCTTATCATATTGCTTCATTTTTCACAGAGAAAATAGAGGCCGTCAGGTGTCAGTTCCCTCAGCTTTTCTGCTCCAATTCTCTATAGATTTACCTGCATTTGCATTCCCTGGTTAAATTCTTTCTCTCCTTGCCTGTACTAGCTAAGCTTCTAAAGAGAAAAGTTGGGTCTTCCTCTCATCACTCAACTGTACTTCTCAACCCTCTACAAAGACACTTCTCTCACTACTGCAGAGAAAGAGGTGAACCTTTTGACCAGGTCTAATCCACACAACTGTCCTTAGATTCTAATCTTTCTCTCCTCTTTCAGGAACTGGCTTCATCAGTTATCGTCTTTCTTATTAACTCCAGCCTGTGTGTGTGTGTGTGTGTGTGTGTGTGTGTGTGTGTGTGTGTGTGTGT